AGCTTATGGAAAGAATGAAATTATGATGTAACCTTCGAGCAGTGTTTCTCAACCTTGGCAACTTTCAGATGTGTGGACTTCAACTCTTACTATCCCCCCAGTTTGTCATATAATTCCACCACAATATAAGAGACTCTTTGGGAAAAAAAAAAAATGAAACAGAATACTTGATTTGTTGCTTTCCATGGCATTGCAATTAAGGGAGTCAAGTCAAACCAGTTAAAAGTCTAGGTATTTTGTTTTTTAATAAATGCATGGAAAAGAGTTTAGTTTTTAAAGGGTTTCTTCATTAAAAAAATCAATTTTGTGGAAAACTTAAATCAGTGTTTCTCAACCTTGGCAACTTTCAGATGTGTGGACTTCAACTCCCAGAATTCCCCAGCCAGCAGCTGGCTGGAGGTTCTGGGAATTGAAGACCACACATCTTAAAGTTGTCAAGGTTGAGAAACACTGATTTAAGTGTTCCACAAAATTGATTTTTTTAATGAAGAAACTCTTTAAAAACTGAACTCTTTTCCATGCATTTATTAAAAAACAAAATACCTAGACTTTTAACTGGTTTGACTTGACTCCCTTAATTGCAATGCCATGGAAAGCAACAAATCAAGTATTCTGTTTCATTTTTTTTTTTTTCCCAAAGAGTCTCTTATATTGTGGTGGAATTATATGACAAACTGGTGGGATAGTAAGGGGATGGTCTTCGCTGACTATCAGACATGTTAGGAAGGCTGAAATCCAGTACCTTTGAGGGAAAGGCAAGTTATTGGTACTGCGAGACTGAAAAGCTTAGATTTTTATTTATTTGCTTGTTTGATTTCTACACTGCCTTTCTTTCAGGCGCTCACGGTATGTATGTAGTTCTACTTCCTCCCATTATTCCCCTCAACAGTGGTTGGGTTGAGGCAGGTTCTGGCAACATGTAGGCATAATTTGTCACCAAATTAGTGCTCCCATTTAGAAGTGAGCTACAGCTCAGAAAGTGTGTGCCTTTTAATAAAATGTGTTAGTCAGAAAAGGTGCTACCAGACTCCTGATTTTTTGCCACCATAAACTACTCCTCTTACACTGTCTTTCTCAACTCTTGATCAAGCAACATGAGGCTGTTGGATGTTGTAGTCCAGCAGTACCTGGAAAGCTATCGGTTCCTCATTTTTGTTGTAACTTTGTGTGGTTCTTTGACATTCAGTTGGCCCCAGGTAGGCAAGGAGTCTTCGGACTGAAAGGGTGGAAAATAGGCCATCATTCAAGAAATGTTCACTTGAGGGTAGTGAAGAAAGTGATGGCTTCCTAGAGAAAGCAAAAGAGGTGGAACCAAAACAATTTCCCCATGAGTCTTGATGAAGGAACCAGTTATTAGTCACAGGTCCCAAAATGTGACCTTCTGAATAAGCTTATATTTTTTTCAGGATTATTTCCGCGAGTTCCTTGATTATCTAAACAACCAGCAAAGTGCAATTCTGGAGCATAAAACACGTACAGAAACAGAAAGCCTAAACTTACTCGTAAGTGTTGATGTTACTGGCAAGTCATTATTTAAGATTTTTAAAAGTGAATTGCATCTCACTGTGTGTGTAGAATGACATCCTTCATTGGGAGGAATCTGGTCCCTGATATGGAGCAAATCTAAACCATGGACACTATCAAGTCCTTTTTAGGGTTGGATCAGTAGAACTCAAAGCTATAAGATGTCTAATCCTTGCTTAGTGAGTTGGGTGGACTCAGCCATTGTACAGTTAAACACTGGATTAAAATTTAGTATGTCATGAGAACCTTGCCACATGATTTATTCCACAAGGCATAGTTAAGCAAACCATGACATGTGAACCAACTCAGTATCTCCTGCTCTCCTGGTGTTGTAAAGTTTAATCCAGTCTTTCCTGAACTTTCCATTTATTAGACCTATATAACCGTTTAATCAGATTCAGCATAGCCAAGTTGCTATATTGAAGGGACTCTGGTTGGCAAAGGCTGGTAGAAAGGGGGTCATTCTGTCTTTCAAAATTGCTAATTGTTAAAGAGTTTGATGCTGGTTTGCCCATGACAATGGAAGAGGTGGAGAGGAGAAGATTCGTCAGATTTCAGTCTGACAACTGGCCCCCAACATGGTGAGGGTGACTACAGAAGATGTGAGTTGCAGTAGATTAGCTCTAAAGGATATTAGGTTCAGCATGTCTGCTCTGTGAGTACTGACAATGCTTTGAATGTTTACTTGCCTCCTGTCTCTTCCATTGATGTTGGTGGTCATCCAGCAGGTAAACCTGTTTAAAAATAATGCCCAAACAGCCACGGTTTGCTGGAAGAGAAAGCATGCAGTCTGGGCAAAATTCATCAAGTGTCCAGCTCACATTTAAGGTAAAAATGCTGTATGTTTATTGACAAAGAGAGCTAGGATACGTGAATAGGTTGTAAGAAGCCATAAAGTCCTGAATTCAGAGCCATGGTTCTGAACAAACAAGGTGGCTTCATGCTTGATTGTCATTAATTCTCTTCTCCATTTGCATTTGTCAGAAAAATAATATTTGTGTGGCTCATGGAATATTTGTTAAAAAAAAAAAAAGGGGGGTTATAATTCCTTACGAATAGCCATTTTTTTATCACATAAAAAGCCACAAGAATCTTTGTTGGGTTGGTGCACAGTGACTAATGTTGCTTATTCTCCACGAAATATCTGAAAAGATTCTTGAAGGAATTGTAAGAAATTCCAAAAGCTCAAATGTGTTTTTAGCATCAAACATTTTATTAAATGCCTTTCCTGCACACTTTACATTAGTGGCCAATTCTGATGTGTCCCTTTCTTTCTGTGGGCTTCTCAAAGAAATTGACAGAGAAAATTAAGAAAGAAATTGACCTTGAGTTCGAGGAGCTACGCCATTTTCTGAAGAATGAAGAGTACTTTCTGATGACCAAGATCCACCAGATAGAGAAGGAAATCAGAGAGAAGCGGGACGAACGTATGAATCAGCTCTTTCAGGAACACACTTCTCACGACAGACTGGTGCGGGAGTTGCAAAAGAAACGTGACCAGCAAGCAAATGACCTTCTGCAGGTAAGCTGGTAGATGTTCTCCAGGGGAGGTTTACTACCAAAAAAAAAAAAAAAAAACATCTCCTGCGTTCATACATAGTCAATTCATCAATTGGATTCACCAATTCATCAATTGGAAATTTGGGGCTGTCTAGACAGTGCTGAACTTCAATTCCCAATAGCCTAAACAAGGATGCCCAAAGGTGCTGAGTGCTGGGAGTTGTAGTTCAATTATATCTAGAATGCCACAGGCTGTCTATTCCCACTGGCACAAAATTAGGTGGGTTACTCAGAAGTATGTTCCACACTGTATTTAATGAACTCTCCTCCTAGCAGGAGTGGGAATCTGTGGCCCACCAGATCTTGCTGAACTTCAAATCCTGCCATCTATCACCATTGGCCTGGCTGTTGGCTGTTGCTGGGAAGTGTAGTTCAGCAATAATTCGGTAGCCACAAATTTCCCATCTTTTCTGTCCTGAACTGCAGCTGTGCTCATTGTTTTCCACAAAAGGGGCTTTAGTTTGTGTTTCTCAATTTTCTAATACCAGTCTGTTTTTGGAGAGGGCCATGTTGCATACTGTACCTTTGACATCCAGTTCTGCCAAGTAACTTTCCTACTTTCTGCTAAGAGGATGCAATGATTCCTCCTGTTGCTTTGGAGAACATGGTGATTATTATTGAATATAATGGTGGTGGAGATGGTGATGATACCGATAATGTGCAGAGGACTACAAGACAGGGTATTTGCCCGCTTGTATGAGTGACAGTTTTTAATATATTTGTACTGAAAGATCTGCAGTGGTTGACCTAACCTGGCACAATTTAAGGTATTGGCAATTCTCCCTTAAAACTGCCTCCTTTGTTATCTTAAGTCAGTGTCTCTCAACCTTGGCAACTTCAAGGTGTGTAGACTTCAACTTCCAGAATTCCCCAGCCAGCCATGCTGGCTGGGGAATTCTGGGAGTTGGAGTCCAAACATCTTAAAGTTGCCAAGGTTGAGAGACACTGGCTTAAGCCATCTGTAGGACAGTCCTTGCTAATCCCCTGTTAATCCTTCTGCTTTGGGGAAGAATATAGTCCCTTGGAAATTGCCTCTGCCCTCATCCTTTAATTATGAATTTCTTTCTCCAGATTTTAAATTGCAAGGTGATATTAAGGAATATTTTATCACTAATTTCTATTTTATATACTTGTGATATTTTGTTTTGGTGTTTAAATGTTGTTAGCAGGAAGACCTAATGTCAACGGAATAAAAGGACACAAAACCTTATTCCGGAAGCTCTTTAGAGCTGGACTGTTGGGCCACATGTTCAGAAAGAGACCAGATTCCCCAGACTGCTTCCAAACCCCCATTTATATAGAGTAGAAGGCAACATTGTTGGTTATTTGATAGGTGCCATCTACAGACTGGTTTTAGGTCTCTTTCCTGGAGCTAAGTGGAAGCTGTTCTGATTGGCTGATTGTAGAATCCTTCTCCTGGGGGTCAGGTAAAGACAAGAGAAAGGTTATGCTCCATAGCTACTGAGACAAGGTTTTCTTCTGCCTCTCCTCTTCCTGTTTGATTCTCTTCTCTGCCTGGTGAGGAGGATGGATGAACCTCCACGGGCAGGACAGTGTAACTTTCAGAGGCTTCCAATGTCCATCAAGGCATGTATCGTAAATGGTGTCCTCTGACCTACTTTACCATGTAGCATATTAAGAACTCATATGGTGTTTTCCCACCTACAAGCCACTCTGAAATCTTTGAGAGACAAAGCTATTTTCACCTGCCATTACTTTTAAAGGCTTGGGGAACATTTGTTGTTCAGTCATTAAGTCGTGTCTGACTCTTCGTGACCCCATGAACCATATTGCGC